TGCTTAGTTGTATCGTGGACTGTCAAATACATTAATTTATAAGCACACTTCAATAATCATAAATTATTTTATTGATATATTAAACTTCACTACTGAAGAATTAAATTATTGATTTATGCGAAGCATTACAATATACATCTTTATTTAACTAATGAACAATATATGTAATATATAAAATTATTCCCCGTTAGTTGTCTCTTCGTGTCCCGGCCGCTGCAAGGCATCTGAAACGTGACGTCGGGCCGTAGTTACAATAATTTTTAAATAAATTTACTAATTATATATCGCGTTTTAAACCTAAAATGTTTTTATTTAAACTGCAAGAATTCACTAATCACTATTTTTATAGAACACCAATTTACCTAGATTTGAACACATCAATAATGTGTGCGTACGGAATATCAATTTTATAAAAAAAAATACTTCATTATGAATCCGCTGTCCATTAAAATCACACGACTCCAAATATCAATTACCCGAACCGAAAAAATCAATTAAGCTATGAAAATAATAGTCTGGTCTAAATGGTATGATCTCATTAAACGAAAAATAAAAACATATGAAGTGATGATGCGAGCTTCAATAATTGAAGAGTAACGAAGAATCCGGGTTTTTTTCTGACCTTTATAGAAGATGGGGTTTTCTTTTTATGTAGTTATATTAATTAACTTATCTCGATTCTCGCAAGTAATGATGCTGAAATAAAGTTTTTTTTATACCTTCATCCGTATATACACTAATGTATATGTATTTTAATTCAAAGATTAGAAAAAAAATATTTACTAAGATTGAAAGAGTCTGTAGTTTAAGGGAGCAGTATATATTTAAATAATTGAAGCGAAGCCACCGTTAGTCAACTCTGCAAGGACCCGGCCAGTTTCGCCAAATACCAACTTCAACGGAACAGATGGCGCTAGCGTAGCAGTTTTTTATTTTGAAGTCAGAGTCACCCTCCATCTTTAGTTTCCCCGTAATCACGGCTGCTGCAAAGCATCCGAAACATTGGGCCGTAGTTAATTATTAAATAATTTTCAAACAAGTTGAACTAATATATATCGCGTTGTAAACCGTTAAAGTGTTTAATTTAATAGAGTATAAGAAATTACACATTATTTTTTAGCATATACAGCTAGAGTTATAATGTGTGTAACTGTTAACATTAACAATAATTTATTATTCCTTATCTATTGCTTTACAGCGTTGTAGAATGCGGCGATTCTAAAAGGATTGAGTTCTGTATAGATTATAATATTAACATAGGTAAGCCGCCATATATCTTACGATATCTTAAATCTACAATATTCAGCCCTTGATATATGTAATTGTACTATAATTAAAATTTATTTGAATACTGCATAAATAAAACTACTTTAACGTTTTAAAACGTGACTGGATGTTTTGCCGTGCATCCGCCCTGGTCCCAGGGGTACTGAACAAAAATGACAAAATCAAAATGTTACGCTAACGCCATCTGTTACGTCATATTGGCATTTGGAGAAATTAGCTGCGTCCTTACAGAACTGACGAACTCTAGTTTCTCGGTGTGTCGTTTTTGACTGTAAACTCTCGTTAAGTATAGACAATACTTACATAAAATTTGTTGAACTCATAATAAGTTACCACAAATAATAAGAATGTGCTTATGTATGTTTAAATTCGCATTTTATATACAAAGTACATACAGTACGCAACAATAATTTCAAACTCATGTATTCCTTTAACCTAGTTAGACGTCTATAACTAAACCTGCGCACGAATATTAGCTTCACGCTCATTACTAGCTATTTATCATGCTTAGGTTGTGTGCACATACAATAGCTTTAAATAAAGTTTAGCTTAGAACTGAAAATTTGCTTTCCGCAGAACGATTTATTATTCCCCATGGTTTTAAGTAGTGATACCTATGTTAAGCTCGTTGATATAACATCTAATAAAACCATTATTGATGTAAATAGAAAATGAATAAAAAACTCAATAGGTCTTGCTCTGATTTACTTGTTAGATATAAAAATACATAACTTAAAATGTTTAATTTATAAAACGTAACGTAAAGAGGAATAATTATTTTTTTATACATTATTCCCCATTTTTATATTTTAAAATGTATTATATAATTAACACTGTTAACGGTTCTAAACGCGGTAGTTAAATGAAATATCAAACAAGTTAACTAATAGATTTCGCGGTTTATTTAAACGTGTTTTACTCTCGTAAATAGACAATACTTGATTTAAATAACTTACTTCAACGGTTTAAAACGCGATATATTAGTTAAACTTATTTAAAAATGATTTTTAACTTCGGCCCGACGTTTCGGATGCTTTGCAGCAGCCGTGCTCACGGGGGGAACTAATATATAAGTTTAACTAATATATCGCGTTTTAAACCGTTAAAGTGTTTTATTTAAATGCGTACTACTCGCGTAAACTATAGACAGTATTTAGACAATACTTGATTTTAATCTGAAACTATTTTTAATACACAAACTTATTACAGTGACTATCGTTCAAATGTTTTAAACAGATTTTTCATTATTACATACATGCCTTACGCGTTTTACAAAATAAGTTTACTACTGTGGAATATTATAAAACAGTTAATAAAGGATAGATATATAATATAAAAACTAGCTGTCGAGCTATCCATTTCGTAACCGTAAAATAAACTATCGAATTATTTCGTCTCGCTCGTGTTCCGCTTCACTCCCACCTGTCATAGCTCGTCTATTCAGAACTTATATCATTATTCAACTTTCTTTTATATAAATCCCGTTCAAATATCTTGATAGTGTCATTGAGAAGTGAAGCCATTATTAATGTGTGCGTTGTAATAATGGTAGCGCTATCAAATTGTAGATACAATCTATCTATTGTGGAGACCAATAAGAATTTATGACAATAGATTATTTATTAGTATTTCTTTTAAAGAGTATAATTATTTTCAAGTTTATTTCACAAACAACACGGTAGCTCTGTCGGTTAGAGCAGCAGCACGTAACACTGTGAATGCCGGTTCAAGTCCCGCCCGTGTTGTAAAATTTTTTTTTAATAGATTTTTAATCTACATGTTGATTACTTTAAAATAACCTTCCCGGTCTAATTGTAGGAACTTGTGGCTTATAATGGCTGGTTCGACTCCCACGGAGTCCAAGAAATTTTCGCATCTATGTGTGTTCTAGTTTGACAAGTGTAAATTCCCGTTTTGCTTGAAGAAAAATTCCGTGTGATTGTGTATATATTTGTGTCTACCCCATACAAAGGACATGAGATTTTATCGTAGTGAGATTTATAGTTAAAATTAGTGCATTGTGTACATTGCAAGTGTAAATACTACTTTATACACAAATAATTTATTACCTTATAGTCATGCCTCCGAGTTTCGAGATCATCTAATTCCCAACATTATTTCTTGAATATTGGTGATTGTACATTGGCCATACAAAGGCCATTTATAATAATTTGTTCAATAAATGAGAATGTAATTCAATTTTATTTAAAGATTCGAATTTGAATACTATGCGAAGCTATTTAGGATTTAAATTATATTTAAACCATCTCTCTATGACAAATAAAAATATTTTAGAAAGAAAGGGCATCTCATGTTTCTGGAGAAGCCTGGAGACATCTCATGTCTATGATGAAGTAATATTCTTTGTTGAAGCTTGTAAAATTAGACACACAATAAAGATTGTTATTTTTACTTAATTGCTTTTGTTATTACTAATTGATGGTATCTTCTTAGTGGTTATATTGATGAGTATATTCATTTATACTTTCCAAAAAAATTTTGTATTTTATGTAATTTGGAATTATTTTTTTTTAATTTATTATATCTGTCCTCTTCTTTTGTTACTCTTTCACCCAAAATACTGAACGGATTTGAATGAAATTTGGTACACAGATGGTCAAGACCCCGAGAAAGGACATAGGCTTACTTACCTTACAACCCCCTTTTTATTGCAAAAAGGGGATTGTAAGGGGAGGGGGTGAAAGTCTTTATGGAAATTCGTGGTTTTTGAAGCTAGAACAATGTAACTTTCTTCTATGTTTTTTTGGGAATAGGAGTGGAAGTGGGAGTGAGAGTAAAAATTCTACCCCAAGTCACTTTTCCACGCAAACGAACGCGGGCACAGCTAGTTATTACTATATTCTCAAATTTAAAGTGTATTAAGAATTCATCGCTTGAAGCATACAAGGCTTAACTTTGACCGACAGTTTGCACGTAACTCGTACAGGCTACTAAACTGTGTACTTGTAATATGATGCAAGACATTTGACAACAAATCTGGCTAATGATGTTCGGGATTGTGGCAACATATACAACTATGGAAACTTCTTGCTTCTATAACATATAAAATATCTAGGATATATAAAATCTTTATATTGCCGTGTTAGGATACCTCTGAATACGGCTTAATCGTTTTCGATATAGTTTTCTAGATGGGACTGAAAATTATACATTTTATATGCGACCTTATATCGTATATATTTATGATTGTTCGAGTTTAACTCCGTTTATGAACCGGTTTGATTATTTTTCTTCAGCTGGAAAATAAATATTATTTTCCATTATAAAGATCAATCAAGCGTCTGACCACAGATATCGAGGGGACCTTTAAAAATTTGTGGTGACTATAAATAAATAGTTAAACTTATTTGAAAATGATTTTTAACTTCGGCCCGAGAGGTGTCAGGGGAGACCAAAACTGTCTCAAATAAGTTTAACTAATATATCGGTTTTGAACCGTTAAAGTGTTTTATTTAAATGTGCACTCCGGAACTATAGACAGTATTAAATTCCAGTAAGGACGTTCAGTGTTCTCGTTATTTTTTTTTATTTTGCGTTGTTTTATATTCTTTTACACTATATTACCAATTATACAAGTTTCCAATGTAAATAAAGAATTATTAAAAATAAATGCATGTTAATAGACTATATAATATTGAACTTTTGATTGATTATAGATGTATTTAAAATATATTTTTAATTCCTCTTTACAGAAATCTACTACGAGAAGCAACGTTACGATGGATGGTTCAACAATAGAGCGTATCCGGATTGGGGATCGGTTGGTAAGAATAATTTTAATCTTTAATGACTCCGGTTCTGCCTTAAAGAATTTTAGTCTGTAGACTAATGTTAATTCAGTAAGACTAGCTCAATTTGAAGATATTTTGCATTGTTTAGACTTGTCTTGTCCTTCTATAACTATCTCGTAGTTCTTGTACATGACCCAACATATAAGAGAGATCTGTTAGACATTGATAAATATTATAGTGCCTTATATACACTCTAGTCACAATAGGGCGCAACTTATATCAATAGAAAAGGGTTTTAAGAGCTCAGACCAACCTTGCTTGTAGCGCTATAAGAGCTAATTTAGTGGCGATAATTACAACTGACGGTATGACGTGATCTCCGAGGAACCTGATAATGACACCTTGTACTTCTGAACTCTATGCTGGTTCTTTAGGTTTATAAAAATTTGGAAGTGAATCTTTAAAAAAATCAAAATCTCAAACATTTTGACCGACCCATTCGAACCCGGGACCTCGTGACCTGCAGTCGAGTTAGGACGCAATTACTTAATCATATTATGAAAGAATACGCGCACTTTATTATCAATCATCAAATACCCTAATGGACAGACCGTGATATCTCAAGTGACAGTTCAAGTTTATACCATGTAATAGATATCAAATAATCTTGATTCGAAAGCTTTCGATACTCCAGTATTCAAAAGCTTTCGAATTGTTTAAATCTTCTTTCAATTACGTAAACAAATGTAGAGATTGAAAACTTATAACAGGCAAGTAATTATCAGCGGTTCATATAAAAAACATCAACGCGCTTTAACGTTCAACGCGTAAAAGCAAACACAGCATGTATTTTTTTTATTATTAATGTTATAAAATTAACAGTGGCGTATAAGGAACGCACCATGGGTTCTATTTAGACCCGGTCCAATATGTTTTTAAATATTTGTTGAAATCTAAAATTTTCTTTCTATAAATGGGTGGTAGTGACATTAAAATTTCGTAATTTTTTGATGTTTTCAGTTTTTTATTTGCAAAGTTCTATAACTGAAATAGCTCGACAGAGCATTTAATTAGATCTCATAGGGCGCATTTATTCCATTTTCAATCCTATCCCTTATTCCTTTACTTGTCAATTAAATTAATTGTAACTTTTTTTCAAAAAATGGCTTAAATGTTTATTACTATTTTGCACTCCTACACTTTACTGTAATGTTAAAGCAACAAACTACTATCTACAGTCTTCAAATGTTACAACACTTGCCGCTAAGTAACTATTGAATCACATTCCTTAACAATTACATCATGTCCCATCAACATACTTGGCTAATTAGATAAACTACTAACCTACATATCTACAATCATATGTATAATCATGTTCGATGATTATTAGAAAGCTGCCGTCTATTGACAAGTGACAAATGTTCGCTAAATATCAATCAATCTGTTGTACAATACTAAACTACACACCCCGTTTTTAATATAGATAAGCTCAGTGCAATGGCAGCAATGTACCTTTATTACTGACGTGTCGGGAGTTCGATACCCATGGGGTCTAAAATTAATTTATCAGTTTTCAAATGGATGCAAATGAGTGGTAGGAATATCGCAACTCTGCCCTGGTACCTAAGAATTGTAAAGTTGTGAAGTGGTAAGTTTGCGTTTCGGTTTCAAGCTTTTGTTTCCGGTTTTCCAAACACGGAAATGTAAAAATAAGTCAATAGAACGATCGTTTCGACGTTATATGGCAATATAACTAAGAAACAATAAAGTCTTAGGTACGTATACAACATTCGTTTAGTATTTCAACAATTTAACGGCTTTAAACGCGATATAGATTACTTAAACTTATTTAAATTATTTTAACTATGGCCTGACGTATCGGATGCTTTGTAGCAGCCGTGGTCACGGTGAGTCTCCCTAACAACAGGTTAAGTGTTTTATTTAAATGTACTCGCGTAAACTTCAGACAGTATTTAATTCGTATAGTATACAACTTATTTATTTATTTCAAACTAGAATCAAACCACAGATATACATAAGATAAAGATCGCCTTCAAATCAAAGAAAATACTATAGACCAAAGATGAGGCTGAGAAAGTAATATCACAATGTGTGTTCTGAATTCTATTGGCGAAAGCTTGTATATATAATAATCATCTGTAGGATGATATTTGATTGTACTTTCTTTTTGAGCTTTGCTTAAGAAATTTAAAATATATTATTTTGATAGTTGCGATCAAAACCAGATAAACCACTGGAACATTGGAAACAATCGTAACATATTACTAAACTACCTGTGCCATCAACTTGGTCCGCATAGAATAGTTAATTTGGCCACCAAAATTTGTTCTTTCAAACTAAAGTTTATATTAAAAAAGACCTACACTATCGCGATTTTCTTTTAGATCGTTTAAAGAGAAATCTTTCTTTCATACATATTTTTTGGGTGTTTCGAATCGTTTTCGCAGCGTCCACAACGGAAACTCACAAGGATGCTCTAACCAACACAAAAAGATTTTTTAAATCGAACTAGTGGTTTCAGAGATTACCGCGTTCAAACAAACTCTTCTTATCGATAGTTTAAAAATCTTCAGCACCTAACAGAATCTGCATATACAATGCAACAGGGTCCTTCCAAGTCACGAACACCTTACAACAGATGAAAAACCGCGAAATGTAGAAATTTCGAATTCAGTCTGTAAAATTTTCCGAAGCCAAAATGAGTCGCCAACGATAAACGTTAAATAAATTTTACGATGCGTATTACATTAGTAATAATTAATTATAATAAATTATACAATTATAATGTTTGAAAGCGTTAATGTGAGGAAATGCAGGTTCGAATTGAAAAACTCTTGTTGGATTTAACATTTATCGAGAAGTATTTAGGCTATAAAACACCAGGCTGCAACCAATATGAGCAAAGAAACTGTGGGAAATGTGGAAAATATGGGGAAAATTATTATAAGGGAATTATTATTAATAAAATTATCTTTGATCTATGATCTAAAAAAATGTCTACGACAGCATATGTCTCTCTTAAGATTATGAAATTCCTAACTGCTAGACTTTATAAAGCTGACTTTTGTTTTAATATAGTGCCCTAAATAGCTATTCCACAGACAATGTCTGCAGCTAGTCTTTCAATAATCATAGTACGTATGAATCAAGAGATTTTCTCCTCGTCCCTAATTCGTTGTTCATGTCTGTGCAACGACTCTTGCGCAATAAGAATCGCACGGTCGGAGTGTTCGTTAGACTTTGCCTTTGTGCTATCAATCACGATTCATCCAACATTTATTTTACTTAATGATCGATTCTCCCAATAATTTGTGCACATAAATGTGTGCAATATTACAATAGACAATTTGCTAACATAATTGCACGTTTTTATATCGAGTGAAAGTTACTTTATATAGGAGAATATGGATCGTTTAGTTCAGTTATTATAGAACGTCTATAGAAGATTTATGACAAAAATATTGGACCCAGTGGGGCTCTAACCCGACCAATCAACACGACCCGTTGATAATTTAGCTATACATTGCTACCACAACACCAATGCGCCCTTCAAAAGTGTATTTTATCGCTATAGTTATTACTAAAAAATATATATACAATTTTATTTACAGGTAGCAGACTGACGCGAAAGACACCCGCGTCGTACGCAGATGGAGTATACATGATGGCTGGAGTGGATAGACCTGGTGCTAGGGCTTTATCGAAGCTATTCATGAGAGGCCAAGATGGATTGCCTTCACTTGCCAACCGAACGGCGCTCCTAGCTTTTTTCGGTAAGTATCTGAATTAATCTAATACAGTAGAAGTAGTGTAATGTCACTCTCAAAAGTGTACTACAGCATTATATATCAATAAAATATATAAATATTACTATCGAATTAAAAAAACAACAATTCAAAGTACTAACAAGTATATATTAAAAAAATATATATGTACTTTACAACTTTTTGTGTTACAACAAGTATTAAATAGTGGCTGTAATTTACGTTATTATTGTATTACATATTTAAATAAAACACTAACGGTTTAAAACGCGATACATATTAGTTAAACTTAATTGAAAATGATTTTAAATACGGCCGGACGATTCTCATGCTTTACAGCATGCATGGTGACGGAGAGACTGTATGACTGTTATTATCGCGTTTTAAACCGTTAAAGTGTTTTATTAAATACGACAAGCATTTTCAAGTCATTATTTGTGCCTACATGTATGTGGCCCGTGTACCCATAACAGATATAAGTTACACTTATTTGTAATTGATTTATAACTTCGGCCTTACGTACGGATGCTATGCAGCTGACTAACGGTTTACGGGGTTTATTGAGTATTGTACTAAGGAAATTGTCATTTTAAATTTCTGCCTTTTGTCATAGTATCGTTTTTTATAGGTCAAGTGGTAACAGGAGAAATAGTAATGGCTTCAGAGTCGGGATGTCCGATAGAGCAGCATCGAATCCCGGTTGATAAATGTGATCACATGTACGACCCTGACTGCGACGGTGTGAAGCATATGCCGTTCCATAGAGCCGCTTACGATAGGTCTACTGGCCAGAGTCCTAATAGTCCAAGGGAACAGGTCAGTTACAATCTAGTTTTATAAAACCTGTGCTTTATCTATGCCGAAGAATTTGTTTGTTTGTTTGCACGCGCTAATCTCAGGAACTATTGGTTCGAATTTAAAAATTATCTTTGTGTTAGTTAAAGCATTTATCGAGGAAGGCTAGGCTATAAACATTCTCAAAAATAGAAGCAAAAAGACAACGGGAAATGTGAAAAAGAACTGTTTTCTGTTGCGTGTGCTGCTTTTTTTAAATATATCAAGTGTCGCCATGTTATATATTATATAAGAGTAAAAGGGCATAAAAACACACGTCGAATATTAATTTTATTTTGTGTTAAGTATCTGTTATAGGGAAAAAGGTTTAATCATTTTACGTAAATTAACTCTAGTTTCAACTTTTTTTTTACCGTTCAGGAATAGGCCTATATTATTTGTAATGTATAGTTAAACCTTGATTAATTTTAAAATGTTTTGTAACATAAAAAATGCAAAATAATTGTATAATCGGTTAGAATATTATTGAACGCATTATTAATAAGAAAAAACATAATTTCTATAATTACGCAACATCTAATAATTACGACCGTCGATCCTCAATATGACGTGCATGGCTTTACGTTAACTAGCGATGTGATAGGCGGAACGTCTCGTCGTATCCAATACTACTACTTTTTCTACCACCAACTTACCTGTGAATATAATTGTTTTATATGTGTATTAGTTTACAGAGCATAATTAATAGTAAGTAATAAAAAGCTTACTAAAGTGTATGCATACCACTAAATCTTATGTTAAATTTTTGTGTTGAAGGGCGCTAGCTAGCTCTTGGCACAGCCACAATTTTCTATTAAATATGTGACGACAAAAATAACGAAATCTCCGAATTCATAACAAAATTATTAAATATATTTTTAAAATAATTAAAAAAGCCTAATGTCGGATAACAGTTAGGATTAATCCATACTAATATGTAACGCTGAAGAATTTGTTTGTTTGTAAGTTTGATCGCGCTAGTCTTAGGAACTACGGGTTCGAATTGAAAAATTATTTTTATGTTGGTTAGAGCATTTATCGAGGAAGGTTATAGGCTAAAAATATCACGCTATGGCTAATAAAAGCGAAGATACAGCGGGAATTGTGAAAAAAAAACGGGAGAAACTTGTCATCTCTGTGGGTTTTAGATGCGTACGCTACGAAAACGGTTTAAGGCACTCAAAAAATATGTATGAATGATTCCTCTTTAACTGATCTAAAAAAAATCCGCGACGCTATATGCCTAATTTTTAAGATTAACTTGCAAGAACGACGGGGAGAGTGGTTAACAACTTAAGTTTATAAAGATTTGCAAAAACGAATTTGGATGCCCAAAATAACAATTCTCGCGGACAAAGTCGCTGACACGGCTAGTAAAATAATATAATTCACGTTCACACGAATTAACATTTGATTTATTTACAAAAGTAGATCCTTTATGAGTCACAGCAATACCTCTTCATAATTAAAACGCGAATGTCCATAATACAATATAAGCAGGTGCAAATCGTACATGCATTTTTATTGGTCACTTGATCTAGTTTCGCATTTAATCGCTTAATTTATAAGACGTGGTATGAAACGCATAACATACACCAGTTGTCAATGCTTGACAAACGAAGGTTATATCGGGCAATAAAATTTAATAGCACCTTCTAACCTAGATCTCATAGGAGACCGCATAAAGACAAATAAGTCGAACCAGCGATGTAAGAGGATCCGAGTCCAATATAGAATGTTAATTGATCTTTGTGGAGTAAAGGCGAGCGTACAAACAATAATATTCGTTTTATATATTTTTAGTTGATTGAGATACAGTGAGGTCTTAATAAATTTCTTTAGACTATTAACTTCACTCAGTGTTAGAAACATTTCAGATCGATCTTCACTAATAGGACAAATATCGGTAAGATCTAAACAACTACAAAACCTTCCGCTATTTGATAAAATTGTTACTTTTAAAACGATTCAATATTTCCAAAATGAGATATAAACATTATTTACAATTTGTCTCCCCGTGACCACGGCTGCTGCAAAGCATCCGAAACGTCGGGCCGAAGTTAAAAATCATTTTCAAATAAGTTTAACTAATATATCTCGTTTTAAACCGTTAAAGTGTTTTATTTAAATTTCTACTTTATTTTACTGTCTTTAATTGTATAGTACCTACAAGCGGGTCAGCTATATACAATATATCAGCTATATAACTTATCAATAAATAGCACGTGAATGAAGCTGTGACGAAGTCATTTGCATTAAATTTTTAAGGGAATTTAATGAAAACACTATAAAAGATTAATAAATCAATTTAATGCGAAGGATCTTCTTACATACACATGCGTCTTCTAGTGACAGTGATTTCTGAAGCCGCCACAGGACCCCAATGCGTCATAATAATTTAAATTTTAAATGAATTAAGGCTCGAATGCATGGCATCGTTAGCTGCATTACTTTAAGTTGTAAGCGATGCAGCAATGACTAATGCATAAATAATTCATTTAGCTCATAATTTATGAATGTTATTCAAATTTTAAGCCGAATTGAGAAGTATATTTGAGATTAATTTCTAAAAATATACTGTGTTCAGGGTGAAATCGAAAAGTATTGAACGATAGGAATTTAACGTTTACGGTTAATATAGAGAAAATTTTCTTTTTTGTTCTTGGAGTTTATGTGTGCTAAATGTTAGTAATTCTTATTTGAAACAAAAAATATATACAAATAACTTGTGTGTGTTTTGTACTTCTTCGTATTATATTATCAAAAACCAATAAAAAAAGTGTTAATATAAATGTAACTTGTTTTGAAACTTCTTTTGTTTCAGATAAACCAAATAACATCGTGGATTGACGCGAGTTTCGTGTACAGCACAAGCGAAGCCTGGGTGAATGCAATGAGGTCATTTCAGGTGCCACCCAGCAGCCACGCCTGCATATTTGTGTACATTCATATGCCTACAATATATTGCTCTTACACCCACTCTCTTAAACGTGACTTACTAATTACTAGATAAGACCTTACGTAAAACTTATCTTAATTAGGTTTTTCCGTAAATTTTAAATTATTTGGAATAGAGAGACCATGGCCAAAATTATATTTACCACATCTATTTTTACATACATTGTATAATAACTATAGTCATAATCTCTATTAGTAGCTTTTAAAAAACAGTTAAGGGAACAAAAATAGCCCAAGAACAATTCATGAAAAACAACATTTTTTTTTATATTAATAAAGAGGATATTTGATATTTTGCCTAATATAAAAGTTTTATAAAGCTTTCAATTTAGGTAATAGAACTTGCACTAAATGTGTACCTAGATATAATGTAGTTTATATAAAAAGTATCTATGATATGTTTTTATCTTATATTGGTTGAGTTTTTAAAACTGTATAATATATACATTTACGACAGACTTAAACAATACAGCCAACGAATAAGCTACACGTTTTAATGACTACGAATAAATATTTTAAAGGTTTTAACGTTTAAATTTTTAAGGAAACGTATAGAAAAAAAGGAACGCCTCTGTAGGCAAATGGTTAAACGTTTACCTAGCATTGCATTAAGTGCGAGAGGTCCTGTCCTGGTTCGAATCCCAGGGAAACAGAATAATGTTTCGGTCGGGCAGGACATAGAAGTCTGATCAACTACTTGCCTGTTAAAGAACAGATCACATAAATGCACGCAAAATGTGTTAAGAGGCACAGATCAAAAGTTGCTATTATATTCGTACAATATATAATATTTAAAGATTCCAAAAACATTTATTCGTTTCGATATTTACCAAAAACACTCTCATTTTAATGTTGTGTAATTTTAAAAGCTATTTAACACTTATGCGTTCTTTGTTTATAAAATGGCAATTAAATCGTAAAATGCAAATTACAGAACGGAAGCTTAGCCAGTGAAGGTGGTCTACCGTTGCGAAACAAGAAACGTGTACCGCTCTTCAATAACCCAGTTCCACATTACATGAAGATGCTGAGCGCTGAAAGGTTATTTTGTAAGTGTATAAGATGAAGTTCCTTTTATAGATGAACTATTAATTGAGCTACTGTGGCCATTAAACAAGGTAGCTCAATTTATCTGAGCAACAGCATGGAGCCTAAGGTAATGTCACAAAAGGATTCGAATACCACCACCGAATGTTTTAAATTTTAATTTATATAAAAGTAGTAAATGTCTAGAATCTTATAGAAATAAATAATTGAAAAAAATAAGTCAATGCATTTGAAAACTTTAAATTTTTTTACATGTTATTTTGTATGCACATGAAGGCACTATATAATTTAATAATCGAAAATAATTCATAAGTTGAAAAAATATACAATGAGGTGCAGATGTAGCTCATTGAGAGCAACAGAGATCCATTCAAGTCCTCCGAGTCTAAATTTTTTTCAATTTTTTCGATAAAATTTAAGTCAATATTTAAATTTAATTATTTGTTAAGGTATGGCTGCCGTAGCTTAATGGTTAACTATTGGTCCTTTGTTTTTATTCCATGGTAGAGACAGGAGACTATCCAACACTCCCTGAAATAAATGAATCGATAAAAGAAGAACTGTAAAACAGATCTGTATAGTTCAAAGTTAGGATCTTCTCTAAAGTAAAGTTTTTATACAGAATATTATAATCGAAAAGTTATACATAGTAGATAGCAAGAAATATCAATAATTGAAAGGAACATTCGACGAAAAAATCTCCATCTTATATTGTTCTTGACCTTTCCACTACTAATCTTTAATTATAATGCCCTTTAACATAAAATTCAGTAAACATATCTTATTTAAATTGTTTTGCTTAAATTAAAATATAACCGTCCTTTATTTTTACTGTTTATAATATGTAAAAGTTAACTTTATTTACGTTGAATAAAATTGTTAAGTTGTAATATATTTGCAATATAAGATTGTTTAAAGTTACGTTATTGTAAGCACGATGAAGTTATTAAATAAAATTAGATTGAAAAATCTATACTAATATATAAAGCTGCAGAGTTTGTTTATTTAGACGCGCTAATCTCAGGAACTACTGGTTCGAATTGAAAAATTCTTTTGGTGTTGGGTAGAGCTTTTATTGAGGAAGGCATGACACAAGCGATGTGACTAATGGGAGCAAAGAAACAGCGGGAAATTTCGAAAAAAACGAGAAAATTATTCAAAAAAAAGCTCGTAACATCGTCTATCTTTTAAGATTAACTTGCAAGAACGATGGGACGCGGACGACGGCATGGCTAACAGCTCAAATTTATAGCGTTGAACAGGGGGGTTTGCAAAAACAAAAATTTATATCCAAAATAATTATTCTACTCGTACGAAGTCGCGTGACTCAGCTAGTATATGACAATAAAATGCATATCGAATCTGGTATTGAAATTCCAAACACAAAATGGGTTGATAGCACATCTTGTTTACATATTATCTAGCTAAGGTATTTCACTTTTAAGCAAGGAAACCCCACGCTTGTCTGGGATCCACTATCATAGACAATATATTTCTAGTACTGGGAGATCCGAGAACCAACCAAAACCCAGCTATGGTTACCTTTGGAATACTCCTGATGAGATGGCACAACGTGGTAGCAGCCAGAATCCATAAGCAACATCCAGATTGGACTGACGAACAAGTCTTTCAACGAGCTAGGCGTATTGTTATAGCTAGCTTGCAGGTAAGCTGTCAAAAACTTGTCCAGTTTCGATTACCACGAAAGCACCAAGCAAATAAGTATACAATGGACATCTTCACGTAAAACTAAAGATTTAGTGGGCTCGTTGGTCAACGGTTTTGATCCCTATTGGGTCCAACGTTTTATAATAAAACGATACTTTTTCTGAAAAACATTGGACTTCGTCCAGTTTCATCTGTATGTTCTCAGTGATCTGTGTCTTCAGTAATCTGGATGTTAAATGGGCCGTAGGAGTGCCGTAATCCCGTCCGGATCATGAACCACAGATGAAAAAACCTAAGAGTGTAATGGCATTTCCGCTTTAGTCCATGGATTTCCAAATATCTAAAGCCAAAAATAGGTCAAAAGCACATCTAGTGTAGATGTTATATGGCTGCGCAATTTTACCTACCATCAAGTGTCTTACCCCCATAACGCAGATTTTTATGTGTTACGTGTCTTTGCATTTAAGAAATATTATATTACTATGATTTACGAGCTGTTTCGTTTTCGTGATTGCTTGGTTTCAGCGTTTCATCATCACGAGTGAACGTAATCATCGGGTGATGTCGAGCGTTCTCATTATCCTTTTAAGATGTTTAATGTTACTAAAAATTGGCTTTACTATGTTTATAGTTAATTTCATATTATTCTATTTATTACCAGTTAGATCGACGCTAATCGTAATATAATTTCTTTTTTACTTCATTTACATTACAGAGTATCATCCTATACGAATATGTGCCAGCTTTCCTCGGTGTACCTGTCCCCGAATACCAAGGATACCGGGCTGAAGTCGCTCCAGGTGTAACTCACGCGTTCGCAGTAGCTGCCTTCCGTTTCGGACACACTCTTGTACCACCAGCCATTCTACTGCGGGACAGGAATTGTAGATACGGCAGAGCTCCGGGTGGTCATGACGCTATACGGCTATGTCAGACTTGGTGGGATGGTAACGTGAGTATCTAATAATTATGGTTAAAGACTCATTCTTTTGTTAAATAAGACACGCCAATAGTATTTCATAAAACAATATTATAGTCCTTATAAACACACATATATTTAGTTCATATATTTGCATTAAGATATATTACAAGACTTTAAACGGTACAAAACGTGAAATACGCTGCATCATTTTGGATTCTTTACAGTAACTGTGATCTCCTCCGCGAACACGGCTGCTATAAAGCAACACTTTGCCTTTTATTTAAACAGGCAATACTTAAATAAATTTATTTTGCTAAGAAATATTAAGAAAGTTATTTAATAAATTATTATCATCGAAATTTTCTCAATTAAAATCATAAAGCAGCGTTTTAACGATTTACAACCCAATTTTTAAACAAATATTTTACTTCCTAGTACTAAAATTACTGTCTCGATTTTAAGGATGTAATGTCTCAAGTACCGATAGAAGAAGTCCTGATGGGTATGGCATCTCAATTATCAGAAAGAGAGGATGCACTTCTATGCTCTGATGTCAGAGACAACCTTTTTGGACCCATGGAGTTTTCTAGAAGGGATCTTGGTGCCCTGAACATTATGAGAGGAAGAGACAATGGATTGCCTGATTACAATACAGCACGGTTCGTTTTAAATATTCATGTATCAAATACTGTCAATAGTTTACGCGAGTAGTACACATTTAAATAAAACACTTTAACGGTTTAAAACGCGATATATTAGTTAAACTTATTTGAAAATTATTTTTAACTTCGGCACGACGTCGGTCGAGATATTAGTTAAACGTTTCAAATAAGTATAACTAATGAATCGCGTTTTAAACCGTTAAAGTGTTTTATTTTCATTCATGTTTTAATAAATCTACGGAGGATTTTCTTAAGAAAATTGAAATATCAATCAAGGGAAGAAGACTAGCAAAATCTATACACATAGATAACCTAATCTATGAAGCAATTACACTATGTGCAGTTGTGGATTCGAATCTCACCCATGTTAATTTTTTTAATTAAAATACTTTTCAAATAAATATTAATGATTTTCATGGCCACAATGATTCAAACCTCATATTTGTCTCAAGTAACTTCTTAGAGCTACGAGCGTTATATTGATGTAAAAAAATATGTTGATATAAAATATTTTTTTCCAGAACGTACTTCGGCTTGCCAAAAGTGAAAACCTTCAACGAAATCAATCCTCAATTATTCGAAGATAATCCCGACTTATTACAAAAGCTGGTACAAGTTTACAACGGGCGTTTAGATAACATAGATGTTTATATAGGTATTGAAATAATTTATTATAATCATAAAAGAAGATTGAAAAGATAATTAAAAGATAAATAAGAGTAAGAAGGGACTCAAATCCTGACCTGTTATCTTGTTATGCATTCTGAGGCAACCGTGTCCCTGACTGAATGGTTAAGTGCGGCAGAGATCCAGGGTCGAATCCCGGAAGAATATAATAGTTGTAGCACCGATTTCTACACAATTACTTACATGTAACAATCTGTAAAATCAAAACACAAATGTGCTGTCTTGTCTTAATAACGGATACGAGATATCATTATTAGGAATGTCAATAGCTAATTTCAGCCTCCCCGTGACCACGGCTGCTGCATCCAAAACGCCGGGCCGCAGTTAAAATAATTTTAAAATAAGTTTAGCTAATATATTTCGCGTTTTGATCCGTTAAAATTGTTATTTAACTTTTAGGTGGTATGTTGGAATCTACGGGTCATCCTGGGGAGTTGTTTCGGGCGATCATCGTAGACCAATTCACGAGAATAAGAGATGGGGACAGATTTTGGTTTGAAAACGAAGTTAACGGGTAAATTATATGATTGGAGTGATATGATTGTAGATTGATTGAAGTAATATGATTGTAGAAATAACAAATGACTATCACACAAGTCCCTTCTTATTTTAAAGATGAAGTGTAAAAGTAATTATAATTCCAAAAGTCTCATAAGTGCGATACTTATAAAATAATTGATTCTAGAATATTCACTCGAAAAGAAATAGAAGAGATCCGCCGTATAACGCTTTGGGACATAATAGTGAACAGTACCGCGGTGGGTCCAGGCGATATCCAAAGAGATGTTTTCCATTGGGGGGATGGTGACCCATGCAGACAGCCCTACCAACTGAACGCATCTAAGCTACCACCGTGCAAGTATCTTAAGGGATACGATTACTTTGAGGTTCTTAATTTTTACATAATTAATATATGAGGAGTCTCCCCGTGACCACGGCTGCTGAAAAGCATTCGAAAAGTCGGGCCGAAGTTAAAATTATTTTCAAATAAGTTTAACTAATATAGCGCGTTTTAAACCATTAAAGTGTTGTCAATAGTTATGCGTATTTTGTAAGTCAAATAAAGAAAGATGTAATCAAAAAAGTATATTGTACAATATTCCTAGTCTAGTGTGAAATAGGAAAGTTGAGAAATATTTCGTAGAATTGTGTAATACATTTATAACTTTTACAGGGAAACGAATTTGCATACATTTACACGTGCCTTATACTTGCGTTCGTACCAATATTGTGCGCCGGCGCTGGCTATGGAGTTGTGAAGCTGCAGAACAGTAGAAGGCGAAAGTTGAAGTTGCAGCAGGAAAATATGAAAAATACTCAGACTAAAGGTATATTTCCTTTATTATTATTTAATAAGTACCTAACGTCTACTATATTGGTCTCTGAAGTTAAGATGTGTTGTTGACCTAAAACGATAACTATGTTGGAATTATTAAAACCAGAATAGGTCGAATCTTATGAAGGAGCTCATGTCCTGTCATCATAACCACAGCAGCCCCCCCCCCCCCCAAATTGCTGCATCTCTTTTATATCTTCCACGGTACAGGTTCCGCTGATAAAATGGTCTGCCGAGAATGGGTTCACGCATCACACAAACGATTAGTGAAACTCCGCCTCGGACCCGAACCCGCACTGCACGTTACTGATCGCAAAGGAGAAAAACTTCGCACCGTGCCATTGGATCATACTGATCAATTTACGATTATAGAGAGTCAGGTAATTTTGAAAAATATTTAGTGTATAACTAGTTGCTTTAGAGCTTTATCTTTTAACAGTTTAAAACTGTACAGTATGACTAAGCCAGTGAGAAGCATAATATAGTATGTTATATAACTACTAAGCAAACTTTAACATATTATTTTTTATATAATTTAATAAAAACGAGATTAATCTGTACTACCATTTATATCGCTTTATTTGCACAAAATGTGTACATATATAAATAATAAAACATACATAATGTCATGTTATGTATTTTTAATCTATACTAAAAAGTATCTATAAAAATAGAGCTCTTTATTTAATATATATGCATTAGGTCCACCGTACCTATTTACCTTTATAAAGCTTATAAACAATTTTCACAGAACAATGATAATACAGTAACGAATTATTGTAATCTTTTATTTTAGGAAAGTCACAACAAACGTCCACTTGTATTAATACGTGTTCCCCGCGAACACGACTTGGTATTGGAGATGGATTCTGCGGCGTCACGGAGGAAGTTCTTGCTTAAACTGGACACTTTTCTTGCACAACATAAGAAGACTTTAAGTCTTACTCAGGTTGTCATTATTTTTTTATCCTTATCATATATACCATCAGCTGACTCCAGCGGTGTTGTCCGTGTCCCATCAGATATTGAATCGTCTATAATCTTTAGCCATAAATATTTACTTAACAAGTTTAGGTATATCAGAGTATAATAATATATAGATTTTTGTTTTTCTCCTTTTTTCTTATCTCTGCTGTGAAAAATCAGTTCCTATTCTTCTTCCTTAGAAACTCAAAACTGTTAGGTATATTCCATTAAAAGTATGTTTATTTTTTGTCTCTTTTTTATCGTCTTATTCGTTTGCAGCTTATAACCAGTATACTTGGCAATGAATTATGTAAAGATTAGGACATTTTTATCGACTTAACATACTGTTTCGTTTTAGTAAAGTTGTTATTATCTATGTTTAGGCAGCTCGGGAGAACATATTAACTTCAGCGGAGACTCGAGAGAGGAGACAAAGGAAGTTGGAACACTTCTTCAGGGAAGCCTACGCGATTACATTCGGCTTAGCGCCAGGGGAGAAACGACGACGCAATGAAGACGCAGATCCGGAGGTGATTTTGTCTTTTAGGCCTTATGCATAGCATTGGCTTTATGAAATCGTAATTTTCTTACAAGATTTGCACAAAAACACTTTGAGACACTGGATTATATATTAAACTAATAAACTACCTCAAAATCACTTAGTAAACCATATTTTTTTTGTTAAATTTAATGAAAATCCTAAAAATAAACGTAAGGATGGAATGTAAGCAAAGTCAACAACATTAAAAGGTAGAAGTCGAGATAATTAATGATGACATGAAAATTTTTAAAAATAAGTCGTCATAAAAGTTATTTTAAGTATTGAGGTTGTTTGGTCCATATATAATGGTTATTTCTTTAACACTGTGTCATCTGTGGCAACGACTCAAAAAAAGGGTATCACTCTCTATGGTTTGAAATCGGCCAAGTTATAAAAAATACACCATACAGTGTACACTTAAAGGACCTTATAGATTAAAAGAAGATTGAAAAGGAGCGATGTCCCAAACCTAAACCTAAATAAATCTCTATTTTACAGTCTATTGTAATGAGAACATCCTTATCCAAATCTGAATTCGCTAGCGCACTTGGAATGAAAGCCGATGCCGTCTTCGTCAAGAAAATGTTCAATATCGTTGACAAAGACAGCGACGGGAGAATATCTTTTCAGGTACATAAAACTTGCTTTATATTTAAATAAAACACTTTAACGGTTTAAAACGCGATATATTAGTTAAACTTATTTGAAAATGATTTTTAACTTCGGCCCGACGTTTCGGATGCTTTGCAGCAGCCGTAGTCACGGGGAGACTGGTCGTCGAGCGAGATCTGGAAACGTCGGGCCGAAGTTAAAAATCATTTTCAAATAAGTTTAACTAATATATCGCGTTTTAAACCGTTAAAGTGTTTTATTTAAATGTGTACTAACTCCTACTCGCGTAAACTATAGACACTTGCTTTATACCAAAAAAAAATATTCAAAATGTCTAACTCTATGAAAAATTTTTTAAGGAGTTCTTAGACACTGTGGTTCTCTTCTCTCGTGGCGCAACAGACGATAAACTCCGTATAATATTTGATATGTGTGACAACGATAGAAATGGGGTTATAGATAAGGAGGAACTGAGCGAAATGTTACGATCGCTAGTTGAGATCGCTAGGACCACCTCCTTGAGGGATGAGCACGTTACTGAACTGATAAATGGAATGTTTTCGGTAAGAATATTTTACATTACATCAAAGAATTATGTGTTATGTGTCCATCATTTTTATATAGAAGCCATAAAAACATGGTTTTTCCAGGACGCTGGACTTCAACACAAAGAGCATTTAACTTACTCAGACTTTAAGCTCATGATGAAGGAGTACAAAGGGGAATTTGTAGCAATCGGTTTGGACTGTAAGGGCGCTAAGCAAAATTTCCTTGACACTTCTACTAATGTTGCTAGAATGACAAGTTTTCAACTTGAACCATCGATGGAGCAGACACGGTATATTTTTTGTATATTATGGTAGCTACATATGAAAATTATTAAATGTTTCCTTACCTTTTCCTCTATGGCCAATGTCTGTACTACGGGCAGCCGTGGTCACGATGAGGACTAAAGATAGATATATCTAGGAAGATCAGTCCTCCGTAACCACGGCTGCTGCAAGTATTCGAAGCTTTGGGCCATAGTTAAAGTAAGTAAAAAATAAGTAAACTAGTATTTTTCGCGTTTTATTTAAATCTTCACTTTATTTTTTTACAGGCATTGGCTTCTTCTCAAATGGGACTACCTTACAACGTTCCTGGAAGAAAACCGCCAAAACATATTCTATCTGTTCATCTTTTATGTAGTCACCATTGGCTTGTTTGTGGAGAGATTTGCACATTATTCCTTTATGTCTGAACATCTCGATCTGAGACACATTATGGGTGTCGGTATTGCTATCACTAGAGGATCAGCTGCTTCGTTGTCTTTCTGTTACAGTCTGTTACTGCTAACTATGTCCAGGAATTTGCTCACTAAATTAAAGGTACGTTTATATTTATATTAATATACCCGTCTTTTTCTTTGTTTAAAACCGTTTTTTCAACAAGACTTTTATAACTGCAACCGAAACTACGGCTGCTGTTAAACATTAAAACTGAAAAACAAGTAAAAAGAATTATGCATTATGATAGTTCAAGTTCAAAACCGTTAAAAGTGTTTTACTTAAGGATTACATAAACTATAAATGTAACGGTTTTATTAACCTTTTTACTTTTGTTCTTTGTTGTACTTATTGAATTTTTGAACAGTTCGGCTTTCTAAATTAGGAAACAATTTATAACAGTTTTATTATCAATCTTATTTTCTTTTAGGAATTCAGCGTCCAACAATACATACCGTTAGACTCCAGTATCCAGTTCCATAAGATAGTCGCTTGTACCGCTTTGTTCTTCTCTCTCATTCATACGGCAGGCCACATGGTCAACTTCTACCACGTCTCCACTCAACCAGTAGAAAACCTTAGATGCCTGACCAAGGAAGTCCACTTCACCTCTGATTTTCGACCAGGAATCACTTATTGGGTTTTCCAAACTATTACTGGTAAGCAAGGTGTGGCACAAAAAAGTCGCCATTGTCGTCGAAACAAAATTTTAATTTGAGTTCATAATAAAAGTGATCTTCATCCATTTAATTATTTTCGCATGTTATTATTAAATAAATTAAAATTCTCTTTAGATCGAAAAAGATCCACAACGCGTGTAATACGTATCTATTGGTTAGAACAGCAGCAAGAAGCGCTATGAATGCCGGTTTATATCCCGCCTGTGTCATCGTTTGCAATCTTAATAGATTTGTTCTATCTTTATTTTAGGGGTGACTGGGGTACTCCTGTTCATCATTATGTGCATTATCTTCGTATTCGCTCACCCCGTGGTCCGGAAACGGGCATACCCTTGGTTCTGGCGAGCACATTCTCTTTACTTTGTCTTGTACGCGCTCTGCCTTGTGCATGGCCTCGCAAGACTCACTGGTGCACCTCGCTTTTGGATCTTCTTCATGGGACCTGCTATTATCTACACGCTTGATAAGGTATTTGCAGAAAAAACAAATGAAATCGAAACAAAATCAAAGGATAAAGTTAAAAAGTAATTTTATTGTTTTTTTTTTCATTTTACATATGGTTACGTAGTGTAATTATTAATTTGAGAAACTTAGCTGTCTCTTATTATAATATATATAATTTATATATAAAAAAATCTTAAAGATTAGCAAAATAGTAGTATGGAGGTAGGTAAAGAAACGTAATGAAATCTAAATGTATGTATATACAAGAGACAATTCCTTAACAGGTTTCAGTGAGAAGGATTAATAAAAAAATTTACTTCAAATAAAACACTTTAACAGTTTAAAACGCGGTACATATTAGTTAAACTTATTTGAAAACTACTTTAACTAGGGCCCGACATTTCAATTGCTTTGCAGCAGCCGTGGTCACGGGGAGACAACAGGGTCGGCTATAGTTAAAATAATTTTCAAATTAGTTTAACTATTACGTTTTATACTGTTAAAGTGTTTTATTTAAATGCGTACTACTTGCGTAAACAGCCTACAGACTTTGATAAAAGGTCTTACTGATATTTTTTTACGTTTGACTTTTTAATTTTAACGGCACATATTTCAAATTAGGAAGTCGTTTTATTTTTTTTATATTTCTATGTGTCAAATATTATGTTGTAAGATAACAGACGTAGTATTATCTAACAATTTCTATACGCACTAGGTGGTGTCATTGCGGACAGAATATTTAGCGTTGGATGTATTGGAAACGGAAATGCTACCCTCAGATGTCATAAAAATAAAGTTCTATAGGCCGCCCAACCTCAAGTATCTATCAGGTTTGATCGAACATTATATTATTTTTTTTATGATAGAGGATTTTTTACATACACAGATAAGCATTTTACGCTTTAGCTGAAATACCCTCAGCCATATAACATTAGAACACAATGCGCTGTCGCCCTATTTTGGTTTTTGATATTCGGAAATCAACAGACTGAGAACAAAACGCGATTAAAGATGACGGCTTTTTATCTGCAGACGATGTTTCGTGACGTGGACGGAATTTCGATATTCCTACCACCAATTTTATATGCAGATGTCCAGATGAACTCGAACAGTTTAAAAAAATAAATTTATTAGAAAAATTTGATCGGTACTTCAGTTAATTAAAAGCCATACCATTACACCAACGAGCCTGTCGACCACTTCTGACAGAGGAAGGCACAAATTATTATTAATATACACAGCTTTTGATTTTTATATACTTCAATAACAGTCAAGAAATGGCTGAATATTTGTGTTGCCTACTTTTCCATTTCACGATAGCAATTGTGCCCATATTATACATAGTAATGTTACAGGTCAGTGGGTCCGACTATCGTGCACCGCTTTCAAAAAAGAGGAATACCACTCCTTCACCCTAACATCAGCCCCTCATGAGAACTTCCTCTCCTGTCATATTAAGGCACAAGGACCCTGGACTTGGAAGCTGAGGAATTACTTCGACCCTTGCAATTATAACCCAGAAAATCAACCGAAAATAAGGTAAGAATACAGTTTGTTATTACAAACGATTGTCGTATTTTGTCTATCAAATTATCAATCTACTAATTGTGTGTATTAAGTATTATGTTATGTTAATGAACTAATAACAAAATTTACAAAATCTCATCTCTGAGGGCTTCGGTTGCGTGCAAAAATACTACAAGAGAGCAAAAAATATTTAGGATAGAATGATTCCTTTTTTAAATAATCTAAAAAAATGTTCGCTACTGTATGTCTTCTTTTAACTTTTCCACGTAGACGAAGGCGCGGACATTGTTAAAAAGTATAAAGAAAGTCAAAATAAATAAAAACAAGTGTTTATGTCTGTTCAAACACATTTACTTAATACAAGTACGCTAATCCTGTAATAACATCTTAATCGGGTTAAGTTATATTATGTACTAAATGTGTAAAATACGGGCTTAAGTGATAAATGTTACACGTAATATTATTGCAGTATCAATGTTTGCGAGATGTCGTGACAAATTTACAAGTTTTCGCCAATACGATTATGTAATATTCTTTTCTTGGTGCTTCTTTCCAAATATTTAAATAAGTGTGTAATTAGAGTTTCGAAAATACTTGAAGCGTCTATATTATACTGAGCAGTTCTTCTGTATAGGAGATTAACTTTTATAACGTTTGTTCCTAAAACAATCCTTATGAACAAGACCTAAAAGAAGTAAAAATAAATTTTATCTTTTGTTCTCACCAAAGGCGGCATTGTCGCCGAGAGAAGTCACATAGTCGTGGTCAAGTCAAGAACTTTTTAATACATTTTGATTACGATAGATACAAGCAAAACGTAGGTATTTTATTAATGTCTATAAACGTACTGTTCTTCAAAAGACTTATTCTTAACTGTACACTTAAAGAATTTAACATATAATAATTTGTAAATAAAATCAATATGTTTAATTAGTGGTCCACATTAGGCCTCGAACCAGCTCAAAACCAGGCAGACAAGGGGGGTCATGGGGTTGTGACCCCTCCCCCCCTGCCGTTAGTTCTAACGATACCTTATCTTATATTTTTATTAATAAAGGACAATTGTAAATTAAGTATGTATTAATTATTCAAAACACATTAAAACAGTTACTTTGTTTGTACGTAGGATCCAGGGTCCCTTCGGAGGTGGAAACCAAGATTGGTACAAATTCGAGGTGGCTGTAATGGTAGGAGGCGGTATTGGCGTTACACCTTATGCGTCAATACTTAACGATCTGGTATTCGGTACATCAACAAACAGATATTCAGGGGTAGCTTGTAAAAAGGTACTTTTCCTGTTTCCACTTCATTTTATTTATGATAAAGGAGGACAAACAACCACGGGGCTTCCAAATGAGATGCACTGTCGACCTATTTTGACTTTGGATATTCGGAAATCTACAGACTGAAACTGAAACTTGGTTAAAATTCACAGCCTTTTTCATATGTGGACGGAGATTCATAGGACCCGGTCGGAGTTTGATATTCCTTCCAGATTTCTAGACGAAGTCCAGTTTCAGAAAAAAATTTAAATTGATTAGAAAAATGGTAACCTGGTGGATATCGAATCCATGACCGATTGTTTATTAGTCGTACATTGCTACCATCAGACCAACGAGGCCGACAAATTCTTCTTTTGTAAACCGGTTTTAATAGCATCTCTCTTATCCAGGTATACTTTCTTTGGATTTGTCCATCCCACAAACACTTCGAGTGGTTCATAGATGTACTACGCGACGTGGAGCGCAAGGACGTGACGAATGTTCTAGAAATACACATCTTTATTACGCAGTTTTTCCACAAGTTTGACCTGAGGACTACCATGCTGGTAAATATCCGATTGCACAATAGTTTATTTTCAAGGAAAAGTATTTTTAATATAGAGGATGATAGACAAGCACGAGGCTCACTTGATAAGAGGTAAAATAACCCAGCCCATATAGTATTTAAGCAAGATGGGTGGTCGACCTATTTTGGCTTTGGATATTCGGAACTCTACAAACTGAAACACGATTAAACTTCCCGGCTTCTTCGTCTGTGTATGATGGTTCTTGGATCTAGCCCGGACAGAATTTCGATATTCCTACCACACATTTAACATCCAGGTTTCCAGATGAAGGCCAACATGTTTCAAAAGAATTGTGAATTGAAAAATTAGAAACATAGATACTGTCTATAGTTTACGCGAGTAGTACACATTTAACTAAAACACTTTAACGATTTCAAACGCGATTAACTAATATATCGCGTTTTAACCTGTTAAAGTGTTTTATTTAAATTAAAAACATGTTGGACCCGGTGGGAACCAAACCCACGACGCTTTGATTATTAGCCCTACATCGCTACCATTAAACCAATAAGCCCGCAATGTGCATTTTTTATCATAACACAAAACGCAACTGCTAATACTTTGACAGAAGAAGATTAAGGTGAATTATGTTTGTTTCTAGTACATATGTGAAAACCACTTCCAACGTCTCTCGCGCACGTCCATGTTCACGGGTTTGAAGGCAGTGAACCATTTCGGAAGACCGGATATGTCTTCATTCCTCAAGTTTGTGCAGAAGAAGCACAGCTATGTGAGTGATTATTTCCTGTTCTTGCTTGCACTTCTTCATGTCTTCACGTTTCAGATAGTGAATCAGAATCGTTCCAAAAATTTTAATTCGTTTCACAAAACACTTTTTAATCATCATCAATTAGTACAACAACCAAGTACGCGATTTTCAAAATTATATATTCTTTATCTTGAATTTGTATAAAATTGTAAGCACGACGATTTTTTTGGCTATCTAAAATACATAATAAAGAGATAGAAAGTAGTTTATAAAATCAAATTAATTGTATATTTTCATATTAAATGTTCATTTTGTCTGGAAATGCTGCTAAGTTATATATTTATTTATTATAATCATACCCAATTGATACATTTCTAGGTGTCCAAAATTGGTGTGTTCTCTTGTGGCCCACGCCCTCTCACCAAGTCAGTTATGTCCGCCTGCGAACAAGTTAACCGGACCCGACGACTACCTTACTTCATACACCATTTCGAGAACTTCGGCTAATTTAATACTGTCTGTAGTTTACGCGAGCAATACACATTTAAATAACACACTTTAACGGTTTAAAACGCGAAATAAATGAGTTAAACTTAATGTAGTAAATGTTAAACAAATATATTTCGCGTTTTAAACCGTTGAAGTGATTTATTTAAAAAGTTTAAATAAACCACTCTAACGTAATTTAACACGCTCTTAAAATATATCGCTAATGCAATTTCATTTTACACAGTAACAAATAATATTTTGTACTCATTCATAAAACCGATATTAATTGGAAACTACATATAATTAGTGGATTTAGTCAATATGTGTAGTTTACATTTCTTTGTTAGTTTCCAGTTATTTTCCAAAGTTGGAGAGAGATTTATTTCACTGCCATTTTTGTCCGATATAATTTGTGCTATTTTAAATCCAATTTATACTAATAGTGTAATTGCAAAATTCGATGTGAAGTTTAAATTTATTTTACTTTAACCAAGAATCAAAAGTAACTACAAAATTGAAGGCTATTATTGTGTTCTAGTTAATTTATTATTTATTATTAGATTATACTGATAAGTTTACTTTCATGATTTAGTACAACCTTGCATTTTAATGTACAAAGTGCATTAACGCGTAATTATATGAATACTCATTCGATTGCGAACTTTTGTAATTTGAAGAAATCACAAAGATGTAAATAATGTAGATAATTACTTAGTATTGGATAGAGTATATTTTTGTATTTTATCGAAATAAAGGTTTTCAAATTTTGTTTCCTAAGTGTCGTTTTATTTTACATGAATAAAAATGTATCATAATCAATTTAAAAATCTAAAATAAATTTAAAAAATTTTCGACTCGGGCAGGACTTGAACCGGCATCGTCAGCGTCCCGTGCTGTTGTGTGCTCTAACCAATTGAGGACTAATTTATATAGTGATCACAGTGGGAACAGTTTTCAGTGCTAAAACTTTTAACATAACATAACATAAATACTGTCTATAGTTTACGCGAGTAGTACACATTTAAATAAAACACTTTAACGGTTTAAAACGCGATTCATTAGTTAAACTTATTTAAAAATAATTTTTAACTTCGGCCCGACGTTTCGGATGCTTTACAGCAGCTGTGGTCACGGGTCTCCTCGTTAAAGTGTTTTATCTAAATGACATAACATATCGAATTTTAACGTTCTCCAACAGCAAATTACATAGACACGAAGTCTAACGTTTTGTTGCTCAACGTAGTGTCAAACTCCTGATTTCGCAAAAAAAAGCTCAGCTATCATCTACAATGCTGTCAAAAATGTTATACAATTAAATTCTTACCTCGGGCGTGTAATTATCTGACTGTAATTATTCTCAGAAGCTATAGTGTTGAATACAAAAGCGACTCCCAAACCTTCATCTCGTGTTATTAATGGTAAGGCTAGCAGATAACCAGCCTTGCAAAATCGTGATGCATTGTTCTGCCGTTCATTAGTAGTATATAATTTTGACTCATTGATCTAATGGTTTCTATGGCTACTTCATATCATTTTTCATATAAATTTATATTTCTTAAACGGGTGGTAGAAATATCCAAACTCCGCCCGGGTAACCACCGGCCATAGATGTTAAAGTTAAGGTCATGTTTCGGTTTAGGTGTGTAGATTTCCGAATATCCAAAAAGCCAAAATTGGTCTATTTAGATGTTATATGGCGAGGGTAATTTACCCACTATTAAGTGAATGCCTTATGCCCTATGCCTGTTTGTCCTCCTTTATCATGAAAATATATATGCGAGTAAGTAATCTACATTTGTTTATGCCAAGTACAATGAGATGATGAAGAGAATCTGTAAACTTTGTATTCAATAAAACTGCTCCGAAAATAATACTGATATTAATAATTGTATTATATTTCTTACATATACATAACAACACTGAACAGCAGAAAATATGTTGGATTAAAATCTATACTAATTAAGGGCGTTTAAATAGGTAAAACAAAATTTCAGTTAAATTTAGTTCTAATCTAAGCAAAATCTAGTCTGTATCCAACCTGAGATATAATATATTAAGAAGTTTGTCCAGATTTTGAGCTCTGGTACGTTCGCACTCAACAATTGAGTAGCAGAGGCGTTTACTTCGTTTTGTACTTAACCTTAGTGCTTTACATTTATAATCGCTTTGATTCAGTTGCGAAATGTAATGGTACTTACTTCGTTACGTTAGATGTTACGACCTTCTAACTCTGATTGTTATCACTTCACTTCGGATGCTGCGAAACGTAATTCCCGTAACATTTTCCAGTTACGTTTCGGCGAGTCTAGAAAAAATTATAAAACGCGTTTTCAAAACGTGAAATGTCAAATGTCTACGCTACGCTCAGCTCATAGTATTTGAAATTTTGGGTTAAAATAATAATGTAAAATTGTTTTGAACGGTTAAAATTGTTGCCAGTGTTTTAACGTACAACAAACAACGAAAATTACACTTAAAATTTTATTTCAAAGCAATTATTAAGCAATTTTTATAAAAGTTTCGCAATATTAAAATCATGTACCATGATACCATAAACAATTAATGTCGTGTAGGAAGGCTGTGCTCTATGATTTATTCGTAGAACTTATATAAGTAGGTAATATTTGTAAAGAGGTGTATTGTAAGAAAACACTTTTGACTACTAGTACACTTAAAAAGTTAAAAATATTAGTAAATCTATTACTTAATAATATATATCGTATTATGTTTTAAACCGTAAAAGTGTTTTTTTTTTCGAATAGGTATAATTAACATTGCTAATGACTAAAGTAGTCTTACTTACGTCTACTTACTTTGGAGTATTCGTAAAAAAGACGTTTAGAGTAAAGATGTAAAAACAGGCTTTTCAGAAAATCTTTACAATTTTTGGACCACCGTCGACGCGATATTTACAGATATTTAGAAGACATTAAGTCCCAAATGTACGTATAGTTGTATGTATTATGTGTAGTTTTATTTTGTTACATTATGGTGACAATAAAGTATTTTTTGTTCCTTTTTGTGTTTTTTTGTATTTATTTCCGTTACAGACAGGCATATTTTGTAAAATAATAAACGTATTTTAAACAATATTAATTTAAGTAAGTTTACGCGAGTACTACACTATTAATTTAAACACTTTTATTACATATTAACTGAATTGTTCAATAAAAGAAAAAAATGGTTTCCTATCGGTCACCATACTGAAATTAATGCTAAAGCTAGTTAAAAAATGCCAAATAACTTTACCGCGGCAGTCCACGAGTGCCACATGTATTTTGCTATATCTAAGTTAAAAAGTTAATCCAAGACATTAATTACTTCCCAAGCCTCGAACTCTGGACCTCTCAACGCATTGGCGGTCTCGTCTATATGACATTTGTAGTATTAAAGGCAAGGACAAAATTAATAGCGATAGTAGTTTCCGTTCAAAACCTTTAATCTTTGAAAGGTAAATTAGACGCAGGCTTTATAGAGCCTTCAAGGATTTGTCTTCGAAGATATTATTACCCACCGTTTGTGTTTACTGTGGTGATCATAGACTTTAAATTTGTTTTTGTTAATTTTGTACAAAAAACTTATTTAACATGTCGTGTTTGGTATTTATCCATACTAATTTATAAAGCGAAGAGTTTGTTTGAACGCACTTATTTGAGAAATTACTGCTTTAAATTGAAAAATCTAATTTGTGTTGGTTAGAGCATATATCGAGGAAGACTTTACGCTATAGAATATCACGAAGCCAATAATAGGAACGAAGATACACTGGGAAATGTGGCAGGGGGATATTATTCATGATTTAGGGTTTCCGATGCGTGCACTGTGAAAACGGTTCTAGGTAATTTAAAAATCGAAAATAAATTATAAAAAAATTTCTACTCGGGCAGGACTTAAAACGGCATCGTCCGCGTTCCGTGCTGTTGCTCTACCAATTGAGCTGCCGAGTCCTACACCTCATCGTCGAATTTTTTCAACTTATTGATGTATGCACCTCTCGCGCAATGTAATTTCAAGTACTGTCCGAGTAGATTTTTTTTAAAAATTAATGTTTTCAAATGGTTCAAAGTAACCAAAAAAAAATGTATGAAAGAACTTTCATTCTTAAACATAACACTTGTTTTTGTCTTTGACGTCGTCAGGTAAAGAACATGCTATTGATTTAGTTTGCTAGCATTGATATTTTCTACGGTACCTCTTTTAAAAGCAATTAAGAGTTAGAAATCGCGCGTGATAGGTCGATGCTCTCATTATTGTAAGATAATCGACTGCATTATGACTCACGAATGTCATATAACTAATGATGTCTAACCGCTTTGATGGCAATACTCTTTGGCTAGTAATGGTCCGAATCCGGCATATAAGTTTGATCACGGAGCGGTTAGTCTGCCTTATGTTTAAAGGAATCGAGATTTATTTTTACGTAAGTTAAATAATAATTATAAGTAAAGAAATCGATTAAAATATATTACTATTTACATTATATAAGCGACATACTTTTTCCTTTTCATATTTTTTATTATTTATTAGATAAATACATTTTATATTAAAAATCGATTTTACATTGGAAAACGTTTACGATATGCGCAGGAATTGAACTTGCATCTACAGAGATCCGTGCTGTTTCTCTTAACAATTCATCAATGGTATCTTACACGTTATCGTCGAATTTTTTCAACCTTTAGATACATGGACCTGTTAAGGAATTTTAATTGCGTTCCGGTTAACTATTTCCGACTATCCAAAGCCAAAATAGGTCGATAGCACATCTTGATAGTTCGTCTGTTATAAAATAAACTGTACTGTAAGATATTGTTTCTAGCCATTGTACTTACTCCAGCTAAATTTTTGTTACCAACCAAGTATCGGCTGACTTATGCTTAAAAAAGCTACAAAAACCGTTGGTGTAGTAATTTACGATCCACGGTCATAATCTTGTCTTAAATAACGCGCTCTGTTAAGCACGAGTTATATAATCTCATGTTCTGTTAGTTCCAATTCAGGTTACATACTGAATAAAA